TGCAAAGATATTTCCCTGTTTTTATAAAGAATTGTGCTAAGACATGATTTTTTTCATTAACTAAATGAACGCACTTTAAAAAAGTTGGCAAGCATTACAAAGTTGCATTCAAAGTGCTTACAAGCCTTCATTCTTCTAAAGTTATGACAAACTAACTAAGGAATGCATTTTACACAAAGTAGGCAAGCATTACAAAGTTGCATTCAAAGTGCTTAGAAGACTTCATTCTTTTAAAGTTAAGACAAACCCATTACAAAACATAAATCCTAATACAACTTTTTGAGCACATTAGATATGTCAATGATAAAGTTGAAGACTGGTTGGAAGAATCCCCTCTTGATAGGAAAGGTCCTTTGAGCAATGTGGTGATGCACCTCGACCATCTTCCCTTCGAATTGATTCACCAAAGTTGTCACGTTAATGACAACTTCACGTAGGTTGGTGTTCTCTCCAACAAGAGTTTGATTCTTTTACTTCTCAGCTTGAAGTTGATAATGTAGATCCTCCATGACAATTTGGTAAAGATTGCGGTTGATAATCATATCTTGTAGTTGCTGTCCCAATTGCTCATTGGCTTTACAAAGGCATTCATTGTCCCTAGTCAATTGATGAAGATAAGAGATGGTTTCTTCATTGAGCTTTTGAGTATGAGTAGAAAACTCTAACAAGCTCTTGTGTGGAAGGGCTTGTGTCATAGATGTGTGAATCCATATTTCCTTTCAAAAGTCACAGATAGTCCAAACAAAAAGGGCTAGAGAACTAAACACAAAAATAACAAAATAAAAGATATTAATAAGAGAATGATTCGATAAACATAATCAAATGACATGAATAATCAAGTGAACATGCATATGTGATGTGAAACTTGAAAATGAAAATTTCTATCCTAATCATGGATTTTACTTCATCGGATGCAATTTTGACAAGTAAGAAAGATTGCATTCATTCAACCAAGTTTTCATAGACAAATCTAAATTTTTGATGTTTGTACAGAAGTTCCCAAGTGACAAATTTCCCCAAATTGCTCAAGTTATGTTTTCCTTATCTCTTTGCTTTGACTGCTTTGCCACTTGTAATTCCTTTTATAAAGCACGATAATCAGACAATAGATTGTTGTAAGCATTCTTCCACTTTTCCACTTTTCTCTCCAGCTCTTGTTACTTAGTCACCTTCTCAATAAGCTCCTTGTTCTCCTTTTCTTTTTCTTTAAGATCTGCCTTTACTTATAATAGCCTTTTCTTTTGTTCTTTGGCAAACTTCAAGCTCCTTTTTTGCTTCTCACAAATTTCCCTACTAGTAGCCAAATCCTTTTCTAACAAGGTAATTTTGTCTTTCAATCCCACTACTTGTTGATCAAACAACTCTTTCCCTTTTTTAAGCAACTCATGGTCAAGAACTAACTCATCGTACTTCTCTTGTAATCAACATCTTTGGGTATGGCTAAAGTCCAACTTAGTAGTCAAATTCATGATGGTAGAGTTTTTTGTATTTGTTACCTCCCATGGCAAAGAGAGATTTGCTATCCAAATGGATCTCCATTATTCATATTGTGGTCTAGTCCTCTTCTCTTTCTATACGGGTAGCATCCTACATTTTTCTCACATCCCGTGTGTGTTCGATATCTTGTCAACCATCATCGGGGAAGACGTGTAATCAAAGTGTGATTGCAAAGCATCATCAAGATAAGGAACACTGATAAGCTGAATTCATATAGATATTAATGTGGATTTTTGCCTTAATATTATTAATATTTGGATGAATTTCATTAGATTTTACATGATTTTCATTCTTTGGCCTTGTTTGGTATAGCGGTTTTACCTAAACCATTAAATATAGGTGTTTGGTAAATTTATATATTTCGAAACCGCTATAAATAAAGTGTTTGGTAAAATTTTTATTTAGCGGTTTGAGACTAACGAATAACGGTTAGAGTTCAAACCACTAGCGGATTGAAAAAGTTAGTTTATGTAGCTTTTTGTACCAAATCGTTAACGGATTAAAATTTTTTAATTTTA